GAGCCAATGGGACTATGGCAGCAGTAGTTCTTTTTTTTTTTTTTTCCCAGACCACTCACCAAAAATGAAATGTAGGGTGTAGACCATCACACAGCTTGAGGGAAACATTGTAATTTCTCTCTTTTCCATCTGATAGTCTTCTGTCGGGAGAGGTAGGTAGGTCTGCAGACTCTTTGGGCTATGTGGTATGCATACAGCCGAGGGCTATTTACCAAAGCATGAAGGCTGCCCTTTGGGATGCTCTGTCCTGCTGTAGTTGTCACTGTTTATGGGTTACCTACACTAGAATAACTCATCTGTGCAGCTGTCAACTATTTAGCCCTTGGGTTTTTTTGGTTTTGTCTTTCATCTTTCTTAAAGGCTACTACAACAGAAGGAGCTAAATATAGTCACTCGCATAACTTCTGAGAAGTAAAAAATCTAGTTATGAGTTCATTTAAGAAATCTGAAGAGAGTTTAAAAAAAAAGCCCGTCCCTAGGTGTTTCCACTGTTTGACTTTCAAATTGTTCTTAAAACATTTCTCTCCTTGTTCGGAAGAGGCAGGTGGATCCATGAGACCTGGTTTCTGCAGCGTGGTCTGGGAAACCAGAAGGTTTTGCTCAGAGGAAATACATGTCATCTCACAGATACCGTGTTTGGCTGAAGTGCATCTGTGTGTATTGCATTATTAGCCTCTCAGTGTAAGGTTAATGATAGTGAAAGTTGCTCAGCACAGCATACATTAACTTTAGGAGAAATATCCTATTTCTAGTTTGCTAATCGCAGGAGTAATTGTAGATCTAGTAAAGAAAAGCTGAAATGTCATTTTGCTGGCTTTCTTTTAAACTATCCGAAAAGAGGCATATGTTATGGTTTAGAGATATCATGACTAACGCTATTACAAGGAAGTTATGCTGTTTATATCTTTTATTTGAAGTTTCAAATGGCTTAACCAAAATCACTGGGAAAGTAATAGACTGCACTAAAGGAATCTGCAAGAGATTTGGGCACTATCGGCAGCAGGTATTTTTTCAGACAGGAACCTTAGTAATATTTGTCACAGGTACTTAGGAATCTTTCCTGGATACCTGAGTCTTTTTAGGAGAAATCTGTTGTAACAAGAACTAGTCACCGTGCAGCAAAAACCTATGGGAAGTTCATAGTTTCTTTAGTATAACTACTTTAGAGGTCATTGGAAGGAATTTTGGCTGATGACGTTTTCTGGTAGGGTAATGTTACTTCCTGTATCTGCGTGTCAATGCAAAAATAAAAAATATAGACCTCACAAACTATTATTTACATAAACCAGTGTGTTCCCGATGATCTGTAACAACTTAAAAGTGGGTCTTCACCTTGAGAAATTTCTAGTGTACTATAAATAGCACATTATGTAGGTGGCTTTGAATAGCTTCTGAGCTTTAAGAGACCCCTGTAGGTACTTTAGAAACTTTAGAGTGGGTGTTCTTTATCTGGAAAAAGGTTAGGAGTGTACTTTTTTTGATACATGAATCACTGCTCTTCATTGTGTTTTCATGATTGAATTTTTCTGGCCTGTTGAGGGTTACTGCAGATGGGATGTCTTGTTTATGGAGAAATGTTGGTTAGATAGCATCCATAATGGTTTTATGTATACAGCAAAATACTTAAGAGGAAAAAAAGAATTCTTTTACATGCAGGGGAGAAATAAGGTGAGATTTGGTGTATTTCACAACTATAGGAGAAAAGAAACAGAAAAATCAATATTCCGCTAAAAAGTAAAAGTGCTTACACTTTATGCAATGAAAACTGTCTCTCCCATGTCTTATTTCCCTCAATTTGTCTTCTGGTTAAGATAGCAAAAAGAGGTGCAAAGTACCAGGCACAGGCTTGTTCTGTGACCTGTGGTAGATGATGTAATCCCTCTTTGCTGCAGCTGAATGTGTGAAATATGAAGAAATCTTCTCATGGGGTAGCAAATCTGAACTTGAAACAGAAATGTCAAAGAATAATTTATATAAATTAGTTTCACAAACTGGCTTCCTAAGGATTACAAACTCTCTCTGTTTTCATTATCAGTTGCATTACATTTTCCTGAAAAAAAAAAAAGGTAGAGTTGAGATAACATTTTGCAGAATATATGTGGGGTTTGCTAGTGAAATCCTGCGAAATTCAGATGAATGTGTTTAGTCGAGAGGGTGAGAGAGGGTTTAATTATTTGTTCTTCATGCAAAAGAGCTAAAAAGGAGTATTTGGAGGCAGCCTTGCTAAGGCTGGCTGTATGGCCTTAGGGACTGGGTACTTCAGCCCTTCATGATGCAGGTTGCCTAGTCTGATGATTACTTAGGACAGTTGTATAATGAATGCCAGTGTTGCAAAGTAACATGCTTTGCTCGTTTATTTATGTAGGCATTTTACTGATAACAGGAAATCCACATAGAGCACAATTTCCCTGCCCAACTGCCTGCCTGTCACTACGTAAGTTCCTTGTAGTGGCTGTTTGCACATCAGCGTGTTGAATTTGTAACCTTCTTATTTGTGTTATTTTGCTTAACTTTTCCTGCACTAAATATAGCTCTGAAGAACAGTCAACTAGACTGTGATAGGTTACAGAGGACCTTCAGCAATGGCACTGTTTTTGCATTGGTTCAAAAGGTTTACGCGTTCCCGTTCCTTACACTGGTAACAAGCACGAGTCATAGGACAACTGAAACACTGATATAAGATCAGAGGATTGACATGCATTATTATTAGATTAGCTTTTGAAATTGCATTCAATTTTACACCTTCTATTCGATTAAGAAAATTAAAGAACAAAAAAGTAAGGCATAATGAGGTTGAAACATGGTTGCACGGGTTGAAAATAGTGTTCAACCGCAGTTTTCAGTCATAGTTGAAACCCTAAGTTTCAACTTACAAATAGTTGAATAGTTTTCAACTATAACATGGTTGAAAAGTGTTCTAGAAGATCATAAACATGCAATATAAATAGAAGCATCCTCTAGCAGCTTTAACTTGTCTCTGAATTTTTTTTTTTCATTTAACCTCCTGTCCCTCTAATTTCCCTCAATATGTCTGTCTCATCTTGTGATAAAAAGTATCTTAAAAAACAGGCATCAAATCATGAGAGAGGCTGGAAAAATAATGAATGTTTTTACTTAATCTTTAGCTGTCTGGCCTTAGGACTTGCAGATGTCACTTTATTTACCTTTTCATCTTTTTAAATGAGCTGCTTGCAGAACATTGTTACTTCTGTATGTGAGACTGTGCAAAAAATAATGTCACAAGTCTCAGAATTAGCGTGATCTTCTGTGATGTGCGCTATATAGCAGAGTCACTTATTTCTAATGCAGTGGTCAGATGTGTACAGTGCAAATGCATTTGGCCTATTTTATCACAAGCCTTTTTATTAGTAGGTATGTGTGCATTGTTTTTCTCTATTAATATCCTGATGCTGGTCTGTTTCTGGAACGAATATTTAGCTAAACATGTAAGGATATCTAACTTTTGGCAGCCTGTATTTCTCTCCTTTATTTGAACAGATGGTTTGAAATGTCATTTGAGGTTCAGGCCATCAAATTCCTTACAGTGTTTATGAAATATGGCAGTCATTTGGGAACCTGTATAATATTCTGCAGTGGTCAAAATGAGTTTTGAAAGGAGCCATTTAAAGCTTTTGAAAGATCTCAGCATGTGACATTTTGGCGACAAAGAACATTCTTTTCTTCCAGAAGTTAGTCACAAGAAAAAGAGTTGAGAAGGCATAGCTCTTCTCAGTCATTGCCTTGAGCATTTTGTTTAATCTCTACAATAACAAAGGGATAAAACCTCATGTGTATAGCTAAGTTTTCTTCACCAAAAACCTACATCTTTTAAAGAAAAGGGGGAGAGAAAAAAAAGGTATTTTTAAGAAACTATTCACATTTCTTATCCTTTTGCTTTGATAACATCGATATTAATGACTCCTTCCTGCCCCAATCTAGTTAGCATCTCTTAGGTGGTATTTCATAAGCTGACATTTCTTTTTCTTCTAACAAAAATATAAGGATACTTATTCTTGACAAAGCAGTGGTGAGGTTTTTTTTTAGATACTGTATGCCTGTGGGTATTGTATGCCTTTCTTTTTTTTCCTGAAGGAGTTAAACCATTCAGGTATACTTGTGCATGAGACATAATTGCTGTTGGCTGCAGAGCCTGTCAGTTTGTCTTAATGAAGCATAGGTTGTTGCACAGGCATTCCTCGTGAACTAACGAAGAGAGTAGAAAAGCTACACAAGAATTGCGTTGTGCTTTCTTCTCAGTACAGACCTAATTCTTTACTCAAATAAATAGTTCTTGCACGTAGTCTCTCTGAATGCCAAAGAAGTGGCATATCCTTTACTCTGCACAAAGCAGGGGAAAGGTCCTGTTTCACCAAAAAGACTTCACCCAAACTGATAAGTAATATTTTGAACAACTTTATAATATTCTGAACAACTTCATAGTTGTTGGCCAGCATATTTAAATTGATCATTATATTTAAATCTTTAATTAACAGACTCTATGTTTTTTCAGAATTATCCTGTACTAGATTACTTTTAACATCAATATATAATTCAGTTCACTGACAAGTCCTGTGCCATTTGTCATGTTTCATAATTGGAAATAAACTCATCATTCACACTGAAAATTATTTTATTTGTATGTTTGATATGAAAAAAGCTTAAATTATTTCCTATGCTGCATTTAAGTACACTAATTAATCTTGTCACCTTGTCTATGTTAATGCTGTACGTTGTACATTCCAACTAAATTTGGCTTCACATGGAGCTAATAAATTGGCTTAATTGTATGTAGAAGCATTGTGCAGATAATCAGTACATATCTCATAAGCTTCCACAGTGTGGTGTGTAAACTTCTTGTCTGAAGCTATACTAAATAACTAAAACTACTCTCACAAGCTTTTTTGTTGTGCAGCTTTGTAATTTTTGATACCAGTTTTAATGATACGTGTGCAAGGTGGACAATGGAAAACATTGACATAGTTTTCTGTAATCTTTTGTAGATCCAGCGAGGGCTTGTTATCTACATATGCTTCTTCAAAGGCGCTGATGAGGATCTTGTTCCAAAAATTGGTATGATATAATCCTTATAAATTCTTGTATTGTTTGAAAAAGCAGAAAAGCAGTAGAGGCAGAGAAGGCAGCAACCATTTGGACAAGAAGAAGTGAAAAAGCCATCAGGTAGCATATTCCAAATCAATCACCTGGCTGCAAGAACAGCTTGGTCGGTCTTGTTTCTTTTGACAGTTGTCTGTACCTCTCGCTCTGTCCGTCTTCTCATGATCGACCTGTTAGAAAATCAATTGCCACGATGATGACATTCTAGCAAACAGAGAAAGCGCTGCATCTGCTGTTTGACATATTACATGAATCAGGCAACAGGTTCAGTCCAGGACAGAGCCGAATTTAGAGAAAACTGTTTTCAAATAATTCATGGCTTGATTTGAGAAGTATTTTAACACTGATCTCACTGTATGTGCAGGATATTTAAAATTATAGCCAGTAGAGGGAGTTGGGTGGATAACTAAACAGTTTCCTTCCCATCTCCTTTCAGAGATATTATATATGCACTGTTGGCATTTCAAGTGTAGTTTTCTGGTTCAGAAGTGATAACAACAATATCTGCAGTTCTTTCCCTCTTCTCCACATGCACTTTAACATTTACATCAAAGCAGAGAAGATGCTGTGGATAAGGTCAAATGGTAGTGATTTCTGTCTTCACTCACTGTTGTTTTGGCTTGAGGTTTTTTTGTTTTGTTACTGTTTTCATTTTTACTTCGTTTCTTCTCCCTCCTTTCCTCCTTCTCCCTCCTTAATAGCACAGGATCATCTGGGAAATTCCATGATGCCACATATTCCGGATAAAAGTACCCCTTTTCTTTTCTGTGGCTGGCTGATAGTAGTGGTTTCACAAAAGGTCGTGTAACAATAGTGTATGTCAGGCTACTTGCTGGGACCAGCGGAAAGACCTGGCAGTGCGCAAGCACAGGTGCTATTGAAAATGCTGAGAGCAGCTCCTGGGGGATTCTCTCTTGGTCTTGGAGGGCACGGTCTTTCTGTGGTGCTAAACTAAGTTGAAATCTTTGGATGTCTTTAAAGCTATGATATGAAAATTGATTTTGTGCTTGTGAGAGTTGCATGAGAGTGTTACTTGAGAATAATGACCTTTTCAACTGTGTGGCAGCTGAAACAGGCCAGAAAAAGAAAGTTCTGTTTCCTATTAGGAGATTCATCTACAACCATCCTCCTTAAGTGTCTGTCTTACAGAATATTTTTTCCTAAATATATTTTGAAACTGTTTAAATGAGTGTTTTTGGTTCCTGAATCACAACTCATCTCTTTTTGCTTTGAACAACATTAAACTTTTATGGGTTTGAAGGCATGACTAGTACCCTCACAGCTTTTACAGAGTTGGAGGAAGTTTTGCGGGTATGATTTGATTTGTTATAGAAACATTGGAAAATATAAAGTTAGTAAATGCATCAATTTTATTTGCGAGTTTATATATTCTGGTTTATGGGCCAAATTGCACCTCTGACCTTCCTGCCCATTTCCTCTCTCAAAAGACAAGCTGGCACCTGCACGTCTCGAAGTGGAGCGCTGAAGGGCACTCGCTCCACTTGAGACCAAACTGCTAAGCTGTGGCTTAAGCCCAGGTTAGTGCTGGGTCCTCCTGTGAACTACTGCAATCAGAATGAAAAGACAGGGCAGAAACTTCTCCAAAGTGCACTAGAGATGGTGTTATCTCCTACAACGTGTAGTGTTGTGCAAATGTTGCCTATTTGAGTATCAAGCAACTAAGTTAGGGTCACTAATTGGATCCTGGGTTCCTTTGGGGGTGTCCAACTAGAATCAACTTTAGACAGACAGACAGCCAACCACTTCCCCCCCAAAATAACTCTTTAGACCTATTATATTAATATAAATATCCTTCACATTCTTCACAATACTCAGACATCTTAGTTGGTTAATAGTATTTATTGATTGTCCATGTTTCATTTCATTAATAAGCAGTTTCTTTTACTTGAATAGTTTGTCATGCATTGCAATATTTGTTGAGTCGTTTGTGATGTTATATTAGCTCCCGTTTAATTTACTTTAGTTACACTAACTTTTATTTTATTTTTATTTGCAGTCAATATGCTGTTGAATGTTAAATTAAGTGAAAATGAAAGCGGCGAGTATGTTTCTGTTCTTGATTTACCAGGCAATGTGCTAATCATACCACAAGCTACCCTAGGTGGTAAACCAAAGGGAAGAAAGATGCAGTACCATGCAAACATTGAAAAAGAAAAAGGGCTGGAACTTTATTCTCAGTTTGTGACTTTGTGTGAAGAAGAACTGGCTGCCAATGCCAAATGCTTGGAAGCAGGTGTTCTCGTCAAGCATGGCACATACGGAAACAGGCAGGTGTTAAAACTGGATACAAACGGACCTTACACTCATCTCATTGAATTTTGAAAAAACAAGTGATATCATGGATACAGTGCTGGCTTGCAACTGTTGTCTTGCCCCACCCCAATTTCTAAGCATTAATGTACTTAAATGGTTTGGGCGATACAGTGTAAGAAAGACTTTCGCTCTTCTGTACTGGTGTTGCCAATCCCATTAAATAGAAGGAAGCCTGAGACTGCTTTGCGATAATGAGTATGTGTTTTATGTCCGTATTCATCTGAAGCGTGCTCAAAATAATTGTTAATATTGATCCAATGAAGATGTATAATTTGGAAGGCTTTATTAACAAAAATGAGGTCATGCATGCATTTCTTACTAAAAAAATAATGACAAAAGTATTACATGTATTAGCTATTGTAAAGAATGCTTCAGGAAGCGAAGTCTATAGATTAAAAAAAAAGAATGCTGTAGATGTACTTATGTGTTCCCAGATTTCCCGAGTCAGACAATTTTTGTCTTTCTGTTTTCTATCTATAATATAGCAATGCTTTCTAGCTAACAAATATATTGGAAGCACAAATTCACTGAATTTTTAGCCTCTTAGAGAGTAGGTGCTAAATAAGAAAGTCCATCCCCCTCATCCAGAGTGTGTAGAGGTAGGACACTCAAGGTAGTATTAGGACTGAACATGGGCTATACAGGGAAGAAAAAGTGACGTGCATCTAGAAACTGAAGTCAAGGCTGTACCGCTGAATTGCTTTCTTGAAGTTTGCACTCCAAAATCCCTTCTGATGTGTTTTGATAGGCTGCTTGCTATAGCTTGGTCTGTGTCCTTGTTACCTTGGTTGTCTTGTCTACTCAATTCTTTCTTAACAGAGCCTCAGGAAAAGGACTGAAATATTCAAATGAAAACAAAACCAAAAATGGTACGATGTATGCTGCCATCTCATTGTTCCCTCTGCCCCTATTGCTTCCTTCCATTTTTTTTGTCTATTGAATCCTCCAGGCAGAGACTAGCTTTTATTTCTTTTATATACAGCGTTGGCACATTTGGGGCCCCATTCCTAGCTGACCCCTTTGCAGTACTGTCATAAACATTATTAACAGATGGTGTTAAGAAGATATAATGGGAAGTTCTGTCTTGTAAGGCAGTAAGAACAGAACAGCTACATTAAAATGTGGCAAATTCAAAACCGATTCATGTGCATTCATCCTGTGAGTCAAGTTGCTCTTTTATTGCAGCATCATGGTTTTTGAAGTCAGTAATTTAGAAGGGTTCAAAGTGAAATTAGACAATTACATGGTTTGCAATAATTATGCCGAATTCCCATTTATATAATAAATTCTTCTGGAAAGATGTAAAACCTCATGGTTAGCAAGCATGTGAGCTCATGCAATCTTAAATTGTAAGTCAGTAGTTACAAATATTCCGTCCTTATCTTTATTTTTTAAAAATCATAACTGAATGTGTAATCTGCAGGCTCAAGCCATGCCATGAGAATCACATTTTTTGAACAGATGCAAAGCTCATAGTTTTGATAAGAGAGTAATGAGATTTTTCAGATTAACATAATGTATGATTAATAACTATGAAATACCTAAGGATGTTGAATTCCTGGCAACTGGCACTCTCACAGTTGAAAACAACTATTCACACAAATGGCCTGGAAATATTAGCTAGCTCCCAAATAACATATTTATTCATTAATAATTAACAGTTATGATAGACACAATATGAGTCATGTTCTAAGTTCTTACGAGTGACATTTAAATAAGATCGTCCTGATGTGAATAACTAATACAAATTCATTATGATCTGTGTGCTTGAAAAAACTTTTTATTCCTCTTTCTGTTGGAGGCCAAATCCTAAAAAGTGCTGAGTAATACCACTTTTCACTGACCTTACAGGAATTGCAGATTTTCAGTGTATTCAAGAATTGATCCTTTGAGGTATAATACCAAGTCTGCAGATTTTTGTTTTATTTTTTTTTCCTAACTCCAGAAAGATCTTTGGCAGCCTGGCAATTCATTCTCTATATTTCAAGAACTCTGCAAGTTCTATTAGGGATGAGCTTGAAAATGTTTAATGAAAAACAGACTTCAGACCAAACTCAATCTCATACTGATCTCTCATATAAAACACATACAAACTTATATATATTTCAGTCGTTCTTGGCACAAGACAGAACTCTGGGGTTTCTGTAAAAAGGTGGCATCTTTGTGTATTATCTGCCCCGTTTGTGAATTATATGTGTATCCATCTTGGAATACTGATTTCTGCTGTCTTCTGCTACAACGATTGGCAGCTTGTTGAATGCTGTGCCCTTTGTACTGCTTTATTTATATCTACTATTGATTCACAATCCATTTACTGAAAGAAGCCATTTCTAAATAACATGATGGACCATACTGATGAAAAAATTGATTAAAATTATTTTTTCAAAGCCAAATGCTCGTTCCTTTCTGCCATGAATATATGCTTTGAACAGATGACCTGACACTGCTTTAAATAGGTTCTATTCTATGACTAGACAAAAGCTCAAGTAATTATCCTGTTCTATACTTAGAGAAAATCTATTGGTAGATGCTTAATACTCCCCGCTTCCTTGAAATAAACTATGAAATCAGGAGTCATCATTGTGCTATTCTAGTGTGGCCTTCAATTCAACTGTCACACAGTAATTGTTATATCAGGTCTTTGCGACCTTGTTTGCAGCGTACACACCCAGTGTATCTAAGCCACGCGTGCGTGGACTATGAACTGTGCTCATAAAACTAACGAGTTTAGGTGCAATAGCCTGTTTTCTAGTCAGTGCTATTCCTGCTTCCTTCCCTTGCCGTTTGTGGAAATATTTACCTCTGCTGCTACATACAATAGCAGCAACATACAAATATTAATCCAGAATTGGAAGGTAATAAGCAGCATGTAGCCCAGTAGTACTAGTACCAATGCTGCAACTGTATTGCTATTGTTAGTAACGGTCCACACGCTTTGTCGTGAATTTACAAGACCTCAGGACGGAGGCTTATCACATGTGCCTTCTCCGAACTTTCCCTGATCTTCTTGGAGCTTTCGTTTTACTTGGTTTAGCTGTAACAACAATTTTTCTAATGACAGGAGACTATGGCTAATTTGTTTTACTTTTGCTTTGTATGGTATAACCAAAGTTTTTATATAGATATTAACAATAAGTAGTTATTCTGTGTAGAATGATATATTTATGATTCTAACATAGTGTTACAGCGTACAGAAATGAAGGCCAGTTAGAACAGCAGCAACTTTGAGAAGTGAAGACTCCAGCTGCAGTGTAGAGGCATGGGACGATAAGAAATGGGGCACAGGCTGGCACTGAAGACCCCAAGACTATAAACAACTTGCCAATGGTCCATTAAAGAAATGCAGACCTGGAGCTCGTCAAAACTAGTAGCTCGTCAAAACAAAAATACAAAACACGTAGTTGCAGACTAGTGAAAAGAAAGCAAGGTGTAAAACTTTATTAGCAAACAAGTAAAAATAGCCCCAGGTGAGAGCTATTTCCAAAGGAGGAAAAAGGAGAGAAGGAAGAAGAAACTATAAACACCAACATCATACTCCTACAGGCACAGGACTCTGGGTGCTGATGATCCACTGTGCTCCCTCCACCAGATAGAAGCCACAGGGAGGTGAAACAGCAGGCATGGCACCAGGAGAAGGAGTAGGTACTACAGAGTGTGTGCATAATGATTTTAACTGTAGTAGTGAGACTTTCTATACAATCTCTTTATTTCCTTTCTTTTTCTGCAATAATTATGTCTGGACTAATAATAATTGTTTGATTAGACTGCTAAGGTTGCAATTATACTAATAATAAATTTTGTGTGACTTTACACGTAGGGTGGGTTTCTTTTTGCCCGTAACAAGGTTTTGCACATAACAGCTCCTGCAGACCGTTGCTTCCCCATGTTGAAATGGCACCCACTTGATGGGCTGCTGGACATTAGCCAACCTTTGTGGTGTTTTCCACCAGGTCCTTTAATGCAGCTGTGATGTCTGATCTTGTTTACCGCAAAAGCTGCACAAAAGTTTCGTTCTTCATTGTGACTCAATGCAAGGACTGCTCTTTAGCCCCTCCCTGAGAACAGTTGGTTTCATCAGTCCGAGGTATCTGCTCGGATTGAAAACTATGATCTGGTAAACGTCAATCTCACCTCTGGTATAAAAACAGCTTCTTTGGAGAAGGAGGTATGGATCTTTTAAGCTTCCATTATTTTCTGCTTTTAGTCTCTAATAGTCTCTACTTTGCTATACAGTCTCCTTCAAACACATTATGTTTGTCTTCTGAAGCTGGAGTGGCAGTATGCCACAGAGGGCTGGGGTGGTCTCCAGAAATCCACAGGCATTACCTGAGGTCTGCCACCAAACCCCTGTGTGACTGGCTTAATTTCTTCACTTCTTTGCGTCTCAATTCTCATCTAATAAATGGGTATTGAGTTTTTTTCAGCGTGTCACTACTTAAGACTGTACATGGAGCAAAACAACGACTACCGCTGTGTTTAGTGTATTGCACAGCACAGTGAGGCTGGATTCTCTGTGAGATTCACAAGCTGCTTTACATTAGAAATCAAGGTCACAAATGCTGGGCGAGAACAGAAATCAGAGCTGCCTCCTTCATCTCTTTCTTGGGAAAACAGCATCCAAAATTTGAGACTCTCTCTTAAGAATTTAGTGAATGTGGTATCTCTTATTCCTTCTTACTTTCTTGAAGTTCCTTCAGAGCAACTCAAAATTTGGGAATCCCTACAAGATTCTGCTACCAGAAGTGCTGTGCAACTACAGTTGAAAAGTAAATAGCATATGTGGATAAGAGAAAGAAACAGCAGTTAGAACAGCCTGAATAATATGAATGTATTGCACATTTTCTATTTAAACCAATGTTGTCCGCTAGTTCAATTACTGCCAGTGTGTAGCTTTGGGCAAAGCAATTTTCTGCTCCACTTTTTCCATCTGTGAGACAAAGAAAGAGTGAAAATGGGAGGAAAAGAGGTTTAAAACGACTGCTTTTTTTTCTCTTTTACTAAAGGCAAAAAAATCACCTCTGTTCC